TAAGTTAAAAACCAAAACACTACTAATATTCTACGTAGAAGCTTTTCCCAGACTCATTATCAAGGTGGCACTATGTGCCATTAATTCAATCAATATTTCTGGTTGTCAATGTCAAACTGCCTGGGTTTAGCAGTCTTCAAACTTCCCTCACGTGGTCAACTTCCTCCAACTCTCAAAAACACGCACTTCATAAGCCCCTGAAGCTTTATGCTGTAATACTTTGTCCCAAGGTTGTCACAATTTTAAGCACTGCATATTCACTTTCCTCTGGCAAATGTGAACTACCAACAAATAGATATTAACATTATCCTCACCAAATGACTGAGGTTTCTGTTTGTGGGTTATTTTGTGTTTCAGTTTTGCATTATGAAAATGTCCAAATGGACATTTGGAGCCTTGACATGTGATAAAGAAGGTCAAATTATATATGATGCTTTGATGACCCATGAACAACATTCTATCATTAGAATGAATGTATCTCAGGCTACCCCATGACCATATTACCACGTAAACTGGAACCCTTACTTTGAGATAAAACACAGCAGACAGTCGTTAATGAAACCTTAATTGAACTGTCAAAGCACCATCTTTACCAGCAAGCAAATAGGTAATTCACTACTTTTACACAACTGTCCAGTACTGATAAGTTATTCCACTAGTTAAATTCAGCTCAGAGATAAATCAAGGCTGGTAGACTAAACTGTTCAGTTATAAATCTGACTGGTAAAATGCTACACCACTTCCACAAATATCTTGCTGTGTCTACATACAGGAGAAACAATATTGTTCAAAATTACATGCAATGTTTTCAGACATCAGTCAGTAATTTGGGGTGCACGTTCAGAAAAAGATATGAGAGCAGATACAGTGTCCTTTTGTGTGGGATGCCGGAAGAAAAATACTTGCAAAATGCGTTAAATACATTAGAGAGGCACCTGGGTGGCTCACAGTTAAGCGTCCGACTTTGGCTCAGGTCATGATCTCGCGGTTCGTGAGTTTGAGCCCCAAGTCGGGCTCGGTGATGACACCTCGGAGCCCAGAACCTGCTTCAGACTCTGGGTCTCCCTCTCTCTCTGCTCCTCCCTCTCAAAAATAAATAGACATTTAAAAAAATTTTTTTAAATATATTTGAATCTAAGTGAATCTTATGATGCCCAAGTAGTTATATGATGTTTTAATCAAATGATGTATCGCTGGGAAAATATTTTTATGTCCCATTTTAATCATTTTAGAAAACAGTTTCAGGTTCATTAGATATTTTTTGAATTAAAAAAAAATTCTGGTCTAGTTAGTTAAAAAGTAAAAAAATCTTACTAATATCTTTACCTTGGGTTTCAGAATACTAGTGAGACTCACTCTGGTCTGGTATTCAAATCTCCAGTTTTAACAACTTTACCCAGGTCATACACGTGGCAGTTATGTTCCAAATATAATAAGCAATTCAGACAACAGGTCATCGATATGTAAATATGAAAACAGAAAAGCATTTGCATACTAAAACACACACCTGGAACTCTTCCTTTTTTTCATTCTGAATTGTACTTCACTTGTAACAACTGATTGGAAACACTCAATGCAGCTAACCACACAAACTTGGTTAAAGAAAGAAGGACCTGACCGGGGAATCAAGTAATCAAGCAGCGAACATGCCACGGCCCTGTGCAAAGTGCCGCGGAGGAAAAGAAGTACCGTGGTAGGCACAGTCCGTATCCTCGAGGGGCTTACGAACGTAGTGAGACAAGGCAAACACAAAACACCCGGTATACAATAGAAGATGGTGTACAGAATGAGGTACTCTTCAAGTACGGGGAGCCAACTCTGTCGGTGACAGAAGGCGTTCAATCAATGACAGAATCTAGAATGGACTCAAATCAAAAACATTCAGTTTTTCATACATATGTAACTCAGAATAGCCTCTACCAGAATGTTTGCTATGGAAGATGTTTCAGCATTCCCAGCTCCTCACCTTCCTCCCCTAAAAAAAAAAATCTTTTCCTTTAGCCCTGACTTGAAGTGAAAACTCTACACGTCACATCACCATGTGAGAGAAATGTAGAACCGTCTTTAGAGTATAGTCAAGAATGCTGCAATCCACTTCCCTTTCAGTATCTCTAGTTCTTAACACTGTATGTACAACGTTTAAATAAGAGAGAGCATCCAGGTCTAAGAAAATCCAAACAAAGTCCAGGAAATCAATGACAAAATTTAAAGCAAGGAACCACCTTGTCCCGGTCCACACACCCCGCCCCCCCCAGGTCCCACACCTCTGAAATCCTCAAGGGTTAGGCAAGGAATGGAAGTTCACAGTGCAATCCCTGGGGATAGGATACGGTGCAATCCGTGGGGACAGGATACGAAAGAGAAGGCAGGAGCAGACCGGTCCCTGAGCGGAGCGACTGAAGAGACACCATTACTGGCTACACTCTTTCCCACCAGGAATCGCATACACCTTGGAGAAGGGAGCACTGCAGCAGCAACCTCCTTGGAGAGCTAGCTGGGAAAACACTGGACCCTACTAGTTTAAAAAAAACAGATCACTTAGTAGCCTAGATTATAAAATGTGAACTATAAATAAAGATGACCAGATATAATGCAAACATGATTCTCACGTCAATTACAGCGTGAAAAACAATGACAAAAGGAGACATTTACCAGGCTAGTTCCAAAGAGTTCATTTTCCTGTAGCGATGGGGGCTTTTCTAGACATGAACAACTATCTATTTTTGAACGCACTGAAAACATCAATTCATCTGTCCACACCAGAATACTTAATCCTTGAGAAAAAAATTCTGTTTGTTCTAGTTCTGACAGCAACAGGGCCTACAACGATAAATTCATTTTATTACAAACTACTAATCTTCCTAAGAAGAGTAAATAGACAAAATGTTGCATCTAAGAAGCGCTTGGACTTTTTCAAACATCCTAGCACTAACAAAAGTAGAGCAGTTTCCTATGTTTGAAAAGTATACTTCCTACTACGGCAACCAACCAAGGGATAACAGCAACTTAAGAGGCACTAAATGACACTAAATGACACTAAAACATTACACTGAATGTGGGCCACGGCATAGCTACAGTCTACTGACCTCATTTGTGGTACTCATGTGTGATGCTATATTTAATGCATTCTTATCAAAAAAGCTAAAGCTACATACTTCCCAACTGCAGCTTTAGGGTTTAAAATAAACCACTCAAGCAAGGGCTTAACTGGTTCAAGTATGAACTCTATCTTCCTTCTGGGGATCAAGATTACAAATCGAAGAATGAAAAGACAAAAAGGGACATCAAAGTAGTTATGCAAAGTCTAACCCAATGACGAGACTAAGATTAAGGAATCAAAGGTGGGGTCATTGGCGACATCCGCTGCAATCAAGCAACCGATTCAGACTAAATCAGACCTAAGAGATGACCAAGGTCTGTCGGGATACACGCTTCACACATTCATCTATTGATCCTACATCCGGTGGCTCGCTTAGGTTCTAAACAGAAAGTCTGGTAGACGGCAAACGTGTGTTACTCATCAGACGGCGTTCTACCAAAATGCGCCAGGACTCAAAAGCACAAACTCGGCCAGCCAACACGTTGGGCCTCTTCACCGGTGGCGGTGGCTTCCTACAGTTGAGTCGCTCCGCGGTGGTCACCATGGTGGAAGCCATGGCGGATGGCTCGCCCAACCTCAACGTGAGAAGAAACCGCGAGAAGTCGTGTTTTTCTGTGGATACTCACCAGACAACACCAAAGGCTCCATATCCAATAGGTCTATCCGGCTCAATATCCAGCTGCTGTTGTGGATGATGCGAGTGTTGATGGTGGTGCGCCTTAACTGTGGCAGCTGCGGCAGCCTGTACCTGAGCTGGGGCTGCTGCAGCTGGTCCAGGAGCCTGACCCGGTGCCGGTGATGGGAAATATGGCTGTTGTTGCCCAGGGTTTAACATGGCTGCAGCTGCGGCCGCTGCTGCAGCCGCCGCAGCTGCCGAAGAGGTATGCTGCTGGACAGGGTGTACAGCAGCCGCCGACCCCGGATGAAGATGGTGTTGAGGGTGGTGGTGGTGGTGAAGGTGAGGAGGAGGGAGGTGTGGAAGGTGGTGGTGATGGTGGTGGTGGTGACCTGCTGCTGCTGCAGATGTGCCGCCATTGTAAGCCGCCATCATTTTTGCGTTGGCTCTTGCGCCACAAAGAGACATTCAAAAAAATGCCCTTTGATTGGAAAGCAAACTGGGTCAAGCTGTCATTTGGCCATTTAAAAATGAAGAACAACCACTCACTCCACCTCAAAAAACATGGAGTGGAAACTGGCTTTAGGTCTTCATCAGTCAATCCAAACAAGTTAGAGGATCTTGGTGTTTAGTTTCGGGGTGAGCGTGTGTGGAAGGGTGTGGATTGCCCAAAAAAGAAAAGAAAGGAAAAAAAGAAAAAGAAAAGAAAAAGGAAAAAGGGACCCCTTCCCCCCAGGTTTCCTGCCACAAGTGGGTACTAAAACTCCATCCTTAATTGGGGGGAGGTTCCAACTTTGAATGTGGGAATAAAGGCCAAACCTCCCGACCCCCTGAACTCCACGCACGAAAAGGATCAGGAAACACGCCACCCTTGGAATCTTGTAAGAGGGTTGACTCATCTACCCCTTCCATTCCCACATCCTTTTCTAAACACCTACCACCTCCTCAAAAATACAATTTTAAAAAATTCCAACCACCCCAAATTCAAAAGATGGGGGGAAATTTCCAGGGAAACCAGCTTTCCCCCCACCTCGAACTCTCAGGCCTTCCTACATCTCCCCCCACTCCTAGTCAGGCTGACCTGATTGGAGGGGGGTACTAAACTTTCCAAAAGAGAAAAGAGCCAGGGAAGGAGGCAGGAGGGATAGGGTGAGCAGAGCAGGCGACAGGGCAGGACGGAGAGGAGAAAGAGAACCGGGGCAAAGTGAAGGTAAGGAGGTGCAGGGAGGAATGAAAGAGAGGTGGGCAGCACTCGGACGCCCAGACAGAGGGAACCGCCCCGGGATGAGGTTAGGGTCCCGGGGCCAAAGAATAGGAGCCCCGGGAGGCGGGCGGGGTGCAGTCGGAAGCGGGCTGACTCCTGCCCCCGCCGCCGGCTGCTTCTGCTGAGGAGGGTTGGGGGGGAGAGCGGGTGGGTCCCCCCGCGCGACGGCCCCCGCAGGGCTCAAGGCTGCTCCGTCTCCCCCCCTCCCCCCCACCCGGCTTCCCGTCCCCGCGGCCGCTTTCTCCTCAGTCGCTGCCGGCCGCTTTCTCCTCAGCCGCCGCCTCCTCCTCAGCCGCCGGTGCCGCCGCGGCCGGACTCACCTCCCCTAGCAAAGCCGGATAGAGCGGAGCCAGCGGCGGACACGCGCAACCAGCCACCGAGGCCCCGCCCCCGCCTCACACTGACCGGCTGCCCTAGCCAATCCACGCCCACCTGTCTGCGTCTGCCTCCAATCCTGGGCCCGGAGCTTCAGACAGGCGCACTGTTCGGCCAGTGGCAACAAGGTGTGGGTCTCCTGGGGAAATCCCGCCCCCGATCAGGGATGGGCAGATAGAAAGACCAATCAAAAGGCAGAGTCTGGCCTGACCGACAAGACTAAAAGCGAATTAAAAACCAAAGATCTCCGTGACATTTTCTTTCGCCTCTCTCCTCTTTTCTTTTTCTTCTTTTATTTTTTTGGCAGGAGCAGGAAGCTGCGTGCTAATCCCGCCCGCAAAAGCTGGAAGAGAGGGTGGAATAAAAGAACCAATCATGAGCCGGGGACCAAGAACAGAACAACCAATCCTTGGCTTGAAGATGAAGTGGGAAGGGACCGGGGCCAGATAGACACTAGATTTGACAAATGGAAAAAACGATTGATCTCGGTCCCACCCTTCAGATCTCCTATAGGTCAGGATTGTGGAGAATTCACTGTCGTATCAGCGGCGACCTCTTTGGGGGCGGGGCCAAATAAAGGGGTGTGGTCTAAAGAAAGGGGGCGGGACTGAGATGAAGAAGGCGGAGTCCCAATCATAGATGGTCCTTTGATACGAGCCATAGCCTATCCCTTTTTAAGTCATCAAGTGTGGAGAAGAAATAGGGGGAGCAAAAAGGGATGTCGAACTAACGAAACTCAAGGTCCAAGGTTACTCAACAAGACAGTCACAGAAGAAACTCAGTAGACTGATAGTTCATAGCCTATGGCTGGTCCTCCATGGTTGATTCTGATCTTGGCAAAAAGAGGTGCTGTCTCCAGCGTTCACAACTCCACCCTCCATGGATAATAAGGCTCTCCTTAAATTAAATACAAATTAAATACAAGATATAAATTAAAGCAACAAGAATAATAAACTCAACAACAAAGATCATAATTTTCTCCTGTATTTTCTAAGTTTTAGAAAATTGAAATCTTACTAAAATAACCTTTTGCTATCACATAACCTCACTTATTTGAATTTACTTTTCTTTTAAAATATGAAATAATAAGCTTACAGAACGTTGCCCTTATGAAATCTTCACTCAGAACCCTGGAGATCATCTTTGATTTCTCTTTGCCTGCCCCACTCCTTCCCTTCTAATCAATCATCAAGTCTTAAACACTTTTCTTTTTTTAATGCTTATTTATTTTGAGAGAGAGAGAGAGAAACTGGGGAGGGGCATAGAGAGAGAGAGAGAGAGAATCCCAAGCAGGTCTGCACTGTCAGAGCCTGAACTTGGGGTTCAGTCCCACCAACTACGAGACGGTGACCTGAACTGAAATCAAGAGTCGAAGGCTTAATGGACTGAGCCACCCAAGCACCCCAAAGGTCTTAAACACTTTCAAACACTTCTTAACACCCCCCTTTCTCCAATTATCACAATATCACCCCAATTTATGCCACTATCATCTCTAACTCATCTCCCTGCCTGTAGGCTAGCACACCCCTATTTCATCCTCCACTTAGAGTATAGCAATCTTTTAAAAACACAAGTCTGACCATGCCCCTACCTTTGAAAAAAGTCAATAATAGTTCCACTTGATCTTCTTCGCCCCTTGCTCAATGACCTTAATCTATCACCTCCTCCCTCTATACTTCAGACATTCGGAACTTTCAGTTCCACAAATGGTTTGTTGCTTCCAAACCTTCATGAATATCTTCAGCCGCAAACACTCCCCAACCACCCTTCGCTCTTCTAATATATCGTTCAGATGAATTTTACTTTTCATATGCATTTTACCTTTTTTTTTTTTTCTGGAAAGTTTTTCCTGAGTCTGTTTTAGAGTATGTATCTCTGTTATCTATCTTCATTACACTGCCTCCATCATAGCAGTGTATGAGAATTCTATATTTTAATTGTTTACTAAGTTTGACCATGCCAGAAAGCGTGTGTGTCCCACTCGGTGTTGCATGCCAAGTTCCTGGGGCAGGGTCTAAAAGGTGAAGGCACTTAATGAGGAGTTGCATGAATTTACTGAGTGCAGGAGTAGTGGATACCAATCCAAGCTCGGCCATTTACTAGCTCTGTGACTTATGCAGTTTAAGTAACTTTTCTGAGTCTCAGTTGCCTCAACTGACTCTGAAGATAATAATATAGGTGATGTATTTAAAAGTTCTTGGCAAATAGTAAAAGTTCAATGATGTTAATTCTCTTTCCTTGTCCCCACCCTCTCATAATATTTGGAATGCCTTTGCAACTTCTCAATGCATTTCAGTCTCCTTCAAAGTGTAGCGTACTGGAAGCTTCTTAGAAATGCAAAGTCTCAGGTTCTACCTCCGATCTACTGAATCAAAATCTCATGGGCAAGAATCTGTTTAATAAGCCTGCCAGGTGATTCTTACACACAGTAAAGTTTGAGAAGCATTGGTCTAGAAGAAAAGGGCTGAGTCTTCTTAAATCCTGTTTACTTTGCAGCACCAGAAAGCACTCAATACATGTGAAATAAAGAAATACATCCAGTCCTCCAGAAAGTGATTGCATACGAAGAACTATTTATTCCTGCCACAAACATTTATTGAGCAGCCACTATACCTAGGCATGATGCTACGTTCAACAATGGGGGAGACGAGGTACATGACCTAACAAGGTCTCTGCCATTCAGGAGCTCTAAGTCTAGTGCAGGAATATCCAAAATGGTGTGTGCACACTCCCTGTGGTGCACAAAGTGAGCCATTAGACTCCAGGAAGGAATTAGTACAACTTCTATTTCTGCTTAATTTTTATTTCATCTTTTAAAATGTCTATTTGGTCAGTGCTTTATAATGTACATAATATACAGTGTACATGTATATAACTTACAAATAAACAAGAATACATAAATTGGGGATTTGCGCTAAAAAATTTTTACCGGGGCGCCTGGGTGGCGCAGTCGGTTAAGCGTCCGACTTCAGCCAGGTCACGATCTCGCGGTCTGGGAGTTCGAGACCCGCGTCGGGCTCTGGGCTGATGGCTCAGAGCCTGGAGCCTGTTTCCGATTCTGTGTCTCCCTCTCTCTCTGCCCCTCCCCCGTTCATGCTCTGTCTCTCTGTGTCCCAAAAATAAATAAACGTTGAAAAAAAAATTAAAAAAAATTTTTTTTTACCAAAAATACTGAGAAATCACTGGCTTGGAACCATTTCACGTTCATGGTTTAGATCAACTCTCCAATAGAAATATGAGAGCTGCGCATGAAATTTTAAATATTCTAGAAGTCACTTAAAAAGCTAAGAGAAATAAGGAGAATTATTTTTAATATACTTTAACCCAATATATCCCAAATATTGTCATATTAAACATGTAATCAATACAAAAAGAAGTTTGTGTGTGTGTATATATATATATATATATATATTCTAATACTAAGTCTTCAAAATCTGGTGTATATTTTGCATTTACAGCACATCTCAATTGAATTGAAAATTCAATTTCCTCAGTCAAACTAGTTACATTTCAAGTGCTCAATAGCCTCATGTGGCTAGTGGCTACCATATTAGACAGCACAGACCAAGATCATGGATTTGACTCCCTACTCTGCCCCTTGTTGTGTGATCTTGGGCAAGTTCCTTAACCTATCTTGCTCTGAATTTCCTTGTTCATAAAATAGAGAAGATCCTTGATTTTTCCAGTTGTGAGGATTCAAATTGACAACTATAGAAAGCACATAGCCTGGGGCCTGCCAGGCTCCTCATCAGTGACACTAAGAGAGGTGGTTATTATTAGTATTACAATCCAAGGCAACGTGTCCTAAGTGTCAGATGAGAAATACACTTTGGGCACTGCTCAGTTCATGTCCCCAGCATTCCATCCACGTGGGTCTGGCCTGACAGACACTCAATTCCCCTTAAACACATCACCAGACAGTATAATATCCGGCCCTTTCCATTCTGTTCCATTTTCAGGAGCTGAGCATGATGAACGAGAAGTCGGAAGTGAGTCAGCAGGATAGCACTTAGAGCCTAAAAAAGCAAGCAGGACATCAGAATGCATAAGCAGGAATAGAATGTGCAGGAAGTGGGAGGTGATCTTCCCTTTCTTCCAAGAACTGGCTCCCCCCTTGAGTTGTCTGTGGAGACTTTGTAGAACTTGGGCTAGGGCTAGAGGTGGGGGTGTTGTTAGAGGACTACCATGGGAGCAAATCACATTCAGCAGAGCTGGGTGCTCGACGCATGTTATCTCATGTGACAAATCATCACTAAATTCCATTTTGCAACTGAAGAAATAGAGTCAGGAAGCCAAAGTAGCTTGCCCAACCTCACAAAGCTAGGGAATGGCCAGCTCCATAGGGCACGCGGCCTTTCGACTGCCCCATACGGCTGGAGGGAATGGCCAAGGAAGTGGTGCTATAAAGTACAGGGAAGAAGAGGCAGAAATGCTTCCGCTTTCAAGTCTGGTCACCCAAGGTCTCTGTCATTGTGTCCATGATACCTTTTCAACATTGTTATCCAAACTCCCAGTGGTAGGCAGGTAGGACCACCTCTGGCCTTTCAGCACCCACACCCTTCTCAGGGATGCTTTCTCCCAGCTCTGACTCCTTCCCACAGGCCCAGAATATCCTTCTACTTCTTCTACCCAAGTTCTAGTCACTTTTCAAGGCTCTGCTCCTGGAACCTTGGATCTTTCTTGAAGCCTTTCTCTTAAACCAGGCCCTCTGCCCTTCCCTGAAGCACTTAGACGTGCAACATCTGCAACATTTGAAACATGTGATGCTGAGGAAAAGTTTTCAGCCGTGTGACTTTGGGCACGTAACACCTTTGAGCTTCAGTTTCTTCATCTGTGAAATGGGGGTAGTAGGAACTACTTTGAAGTGTAAAGTCATATCTACTTTGAAGGGATTAAGTACATTCAGATGTTAATATATGAAATACCTAGCACAGTACCCAACACAGAGTAGCCACGCAATACAGGTAGCTCTCTTCCCACTTCTATGTATTGTTTACTGATCATTTTCTCCCCCTAGTATCTCCATTTCAAGTGCTCTTCAGTTGGGGGAGTTGAGGTTGGGGGATGATAGGTGATACTGAAATCTTAATAAATTGTAAATTGTTTCTCCCATTTCCCCTCATCTATTTTTCTGTGGTCCTTTATCAGCCTTGTGACAGGGCACAAAGCTGTCAGTGCAAAGGAAAGCCAGAGGCTTGATAAAAGAGAGTGTGAGGAGGGCTGTAAACCTTTGAGCATTTGGTGGTACTGTGGGACAAAGAGCAGGTCCACGGTCAACTACAGGGAGGCAGAGCAAGGGAAGCCAGGCAGGACAGTGGAAGACTCAGTCTGGAGCCCAGTACAACATCAGTAGTCAGTAGCAAGTAAGATAGATCTCGGGCATGGTAACAAGCTGGGGACTGGGGAAGACCAGGCAGATTCAAGTGCATGTGTTGTCCAGGCCTTCCTCTGAAGTCTTGGGACTTCTTTCCCTACTGCCGGGCCTCCACTCAACTCAACAACACAGCTTAAGCCCCATGAGAGTTCCCTCTGCACGTATCTGAGGACTTCGGCTTCATCTTACCCC